CCCAGCTCTCACCCTGGATTCTCATGTCAGTTCTCTTGTTCGCTCTTCCTTCTTCCATCTCAGGAACATTGCTAAGCTGAGTCCCATTCTGTCCCGCTCTGAACTTGAGACAGTTCTCCACACCTTCATCTCCTCACGCTTAGACTACTGTAACTCTCTTTTCACGTGTTGGAGCAGAACCTCCCTGAACCGTCTACAGGTGGTTCAGAACGCCTGTGCTCGGCTTCTGACCAAGTCCTCCAAACACACCCACATCACCCCGCTTCTCCTCCAGCTTCACTGGCTGCCAGTCAACTTCAGGGTTCATTTCAAGATCCTGGTTCTGGTCTATAGGGCCTTACATGGACAAGCACCATCTTACATTGGTGATCTTCTCAGTCCCTACACCCCTAGCAGGTCCCTGAGGTCCAGTGACCAAAGCCTACTGGTTGTGCAGCACCAGGCTAAAGACCAAAGGTGACAGATCATCTGCTGCCGTGGCCTCCAGATTCTTGACCTCTCTCCTTCTGAGCCTGAGATCAACAGTGGACTCAGTGAACTCCATAAAGCAGCTAAAAACTCACCTGTTCAGGCTGGTTTTGGTGTGACCTTCTTCACCACTCTCTATTCTGCTCTCCCCATCTATTCCACCTTCCTCAGGATCCACTGATTTCCCACTTTCCTGTTCACTTTCTCTCTTTCTTGACATTTTTTTAATCACAATTGCCTATTTTTGCTCATTTTAAATATATTTTTAAACATTTTCTAGATGCTTTTTTAAATTTTTAAATTTTTTGTTTTTGTGATGTGCCTCATGATTTTTATCTTGAGAGGCGCTATAGAAATGATACTTTCTTCTTCTTGTTTTGGTTGTTTTGGCGTCGACATCATCCTAGCACGCAATGTTCTGTGACTCTTAAAAAAACAGGAAAAACAGTGAGAAACGCTGGCAGCGAATGCCGTTAGCGATCAGGAAACAGTTGGCAGTGAATGAGTTAAGAAGCAGCTGAAGACTCAGCTGTTCAGGCTGGCTTTGAGAACAGCCTCTCCTGCTTCCTATAGCTCTTTATTTTATTTAGGATCTGAACTAATCTTATCTATTTAAGAGCATTATAACTTGTTGTATTTCTGCCTTGCTCTCTCTTTCACTCTGGAAGCTTTTATAGAATATGGTCTGTTAATCTGTTCTATTTTGTTTTAATGAACCTTCGCTCACCTGTGTTCCAGCCTTCCTGTTTTTGATTCTCAGTGCCCATCAGCTGTGCAGCACCATTTTGTAAGTGGGTGAAGCACAGAGTGCTCTGCTCTGTAAGATGAACACAAGAAGCTCCTGGCTAATGGTAGTTTCTGTCTTTGTGTCCAATGATGAAGCCTGTCTCCATTGCCCTATCACTAACCTGGGGGTCGGCAACCCGCGGCTCTGGAGCCGCATGCGGCTCTTCCATCCATCTGATGCGGCTCTCTGTGCTTGTAAAATAATGAATGATATTTAAATAAAATGCTTTATATTTTACTGCATTAATTTTACACCTGTATGCCAATTCTAAATGTAAAGATTGTCTGCGTAAACCTGAACAGGTCCAACCTGGTCTTACTGTGAGACCGGGCTGACGGGTCACTCTTGTGCGTAATCATATCGGCGCATTCTGAGCTGAAGAGGATGTGAGATTCTGGGATTCTCCTCAGACGGCTCCTGGATGTGTCGCCACATTGGAGATAGGAACAAGCGCTATTCATCCAAAGTTTCATAATCAGGGAACATTTTCTAAGTGACAAGTCTCGCTTCAGTCGGAGGAATCTTCCCGCATGCGCTCTGGCTCTGCGACGCGCTCCAAGCCAATCTCCACAAATTCAGCTCGCTGTGCACCGTATGTACGCGCTGACAGCAAGCTGCGCTGAGCAGTGTCCAGCTCAGATGTTCAGATGGGAATCTTTTCTTGAGGATTTAGCTACATCTACGATGTGCGAAACGAATAAAAAGTCAGTTCGTCTGCATGCGTCGGGGTAATTCTTTCTATTCTTTCTCCGTCAAAATAAACGGTCAAATACGGGAACTATCCGGTCAACACAAGCCCTGCTTTTAACTGTTTTGTTTTGTTGTGAAAATTGTTGCAAATAGATATAATTTAACTTGATTAACACCAGAGCCAGGCGCACTGTGCCGTTATCTCGTCACTGTAAATGAGGGAAAAACAAATTGATCGACTTCCCCACCAACAAAGTTTAATCACAACAATCAAACGTGACAGAGCCTGGATTTGTATTCTGAACAGTCTAAACATGATTTAAAAAGAAACGTATGACAAAAGTGGCACCTGCTCAGTAAAACCACCAACAGGGTGAAAAGTATCAAAATATTGTAGGCAGAGACGAGCTACAACTTCTGGATCCAGTTTATATAAATCGTTTTATTGATTATCGTCTTATGAAAGATAACTTTGACGTACATGAGAGACCGGTACTGGCTGCTGTCACCTGTTGTGATTGGTTAAAGCAGTGCTCTGCAGTCTGAGGGTAGGCCCCGCCCACAACGCTGCAGCTGCTGTGGCTCCCAGTGTTTTCTTTACTGTGGGAAACGGTTAATAATGGCTCTTTGATGGGAACAGGTTGCCGACCCCTGCCCTAACCCATGGTGCTCTGGAGACAACCTGTCCATAAACACCTCAGAAACTGAAGACGTGATTCTGGACTTGAGTGAAAAACACAACAGTTACACATGTATTATGTCTTTATACTGAGTATTTATTATACTATGTTACATATGAGGACTATTTATTCTAAATAGAAACTTATTTTTTACTTTTGCCCGTCAGAGCTCAGTGAGTGGAGAAAACAAGAGCATCGCCCTCTGGTGGCCCCATTAAGCATTACATGAAGCTATAATGACTACCGTAAATCCTCTAATACAGGCCCGGGCCTGTATTTGACTCAAGCTCACCAAGCTCCAGGCCTTTATTGGAAGGAGGGCCAGTATTAGAGGCAGACCTCTATTTCTATTTGAGCAAAATGAACTAATGGTTCGCTGGAGTTTTTGACAATTAAAATTGCGCCCACATTTTCAAAGTTAAACACATTTCTTTTAACAACGGTAGTTTCTGCTTCAGCCCTCTCCCCCCTCCCCCTGCGCAGCGGCCGCATACTCACTGATGCGCCTGCAGCCTCTCAGAGTTCCTGCTGCTCTAAACATTAAAATAATTATTTCATTTTCTGTTCCTCACTTCTGATTACCTTCAATGGTGTCTGTTTGTTGCAACAGCAGGTACAAAAACTAACTTGTTTTTATTTGACTATTTTTCTGTCCTGCCTGTTTATTATCTTCCTGCATCTCCTCTCAATCCTAAAGAAAAACTGCTACCTGGGTTCATATATATTCACCTCATGAGTCATGAGTTACCTTTGAACTGCAGTTCTAAAAGATCTACCGACCGCAAAAACAGCGGAGCGCTCGCTCTTTGGCGGCCGTATCAGTGATCAGTGCGTCGGAGGACAAGGTGCTGCGCGCAGTGCCCCGCTCCACAGCAGCGAAACGCATCAGGCGCAAATAAAAGACAGAAAACATTAAAGGAAATGAAATGACATGAACGATCGCGTGTTAAATTAGTTTTTGAGGTGGCGACACCTGATTGTTACTGTGGCCGTGCGCAGGAGGCAGATCTGCCGACCGGAGCGCTCGCTGTTTGGCGGCCGTATCAGTGATCTGTGCGTCGGAGGACAAGGTGAAGCGCCCCGCTCCACAACAGCGATACACATCAGGCGCAAATAAAAGACAGAAAACATTAAAGGAAATGAACCGAAATGACCGACATGAACGATCGCGTGTCAGTAACTACGGTCTGGCACAGCGCGTCCCCCCCCCCCCCACCGAGCGCAGGAGCTTGTCACAACAGGCTGCTGTCTTTTCCGAGGGCTGCATCTTGCCGGTCATTATCACGTGACAGCGACTAGTCGACGACAGGCATGAAAAGTCACTATAGTGAAGTTGACTAGTTCATACAACCCATGCTGCTGCTCCCCAGAGTGTTCTGCAGCATAATCAGCACGTTCTCTTTGAACTTGATAGTGTAATGACCTGGCTGGGGTTGTAAGCCAGGTGCATTCTGGGTATTGTGTTATATGTGTTTCCTATCGTTCTGCTAGTTCCTATGTGCTGATTTGCGTGTTGTGTGAGTGTAGAGGATCGTGTCTGTAGCGTTACAAAGCGTAGAAGAAAAAGCCTAATAAAGGTCTGCGTGAACCTCTACTGCCTCCTGCTGGATGATTAGGGGACCATAACCTTCTGCTGAGACGCTCATACTTGCTTGTTACCACATTCCACCCGGCCACAATAAGAGACCGGCCATTATTTACCTCCGCTGACTCCGACACCGGCCAAAATTGGAGACCCGGCCTTTAATTGAATGCCGGCCTGTATTAGAGGATTTACAGTAAATGGCACCTTCCCAACACTTTTTATTTGCTTCTCAGAGCTGCTAAAAGTAAAGTAACAACATCAAAAGTTTATATCACATTCTTTATAGAAAGTAAGATTTTTTTAGTTTGTTTGAAGTTCATAAAGAATAAAACTGGTCAGATTTAGATTTAAAAAACATCATAAAGAAAAAAGTATTTTACTTGTTTTTCGTGGCTTTTGAAGAGACCACCTAAAATAAAAAATATAACATGTTATGTGTGTTTTATTAGTCCCATTCAGTATGCTTATGGATATGTGTGTGTGTGTGTGTGTGTGCGCGTGCGTGCGTGTGTGTGTGGGTATGTATATATGTATATAGGTGTGTGCGTAAATGAACATGTGTGTGGGTATACATGTTCTTATGTGTTTTTAGGTATTTTTATTCTCATTTATTATGGTTGTTGTATGTTTTAGAGAGCGAACATCTACCGAAGACAAATTCCTTGTAAATGTAATTTTACTTGGCCAATAAATCTGAAATCTGAAATCTGAAAATCTGAACACACAGGTGTGTTTTATTCTGCTCCAGCAGGTGGCGATAGTGCACCTTTACGCTAGTCACCGACCACCTAAAGAAGCAGAAATCGGAAGCTGCTAGCAGAGCTAGGTTGTTGTTCTGGTGTGTGAGGCTCTGCAGTAAAAATTTCTTCACTTCAGTCTCTGGGAGAGTTGATCAGCTAAAGCGACTAACTGCTGCTGCTGCAGAAATCTTCTCACCAGGCTGTGGAAACTTTCTTCTCCTCCTCAACAACTTGGTGGAGTTCTTACCAGAACCAGAGAAGATATTCTGCGGTCTTCGTGACAATCGGAGCTCCAGAATCAGGTTGTGGGTCAGAAAAGCTTTTCTGTAGACTTCCTGCCCCCTGGATCTGCTGCTGTTCCTTTGGCCAGTACCAAAGCGTTGGGTCTTGCGTTGTTGTGAAGCAGCATCTTAATCAGCTCTCCTGCTTTGTTTCTATTGCAGCTGTTAGCTAAACACGGCTAAAGAGAACCTGCTACCACTTCAGGATCATCCATCAGCTGGGACTGATTCATCGTGTGTTCTTCACCACCTGGACCCGGACAGCATGGACACAGGTAGGGCTGCCACCTTTCAGATATGTAAATAAGCCTTAAACAAGGTTATCATTACTTTTTCAGAACAAGACCCAAACTTAGGAGCGAGTGTATTTCTCTGAGCGTATAACACACAGCACTGCCTGTACATGACATCATCTCTCATGTCCTCAGTGATGATATGACCAAGATGTTTAACATTCTAGGTGACACTAATCACAGAGTCCGAGAGATAAAACTCTGGAAACCATTTGCTCGTCCTCCTCGGCCCGGCGAATCATAACCACACTTTTAGCTGCATTATACACAATGTTGTGTTCTACTTCATAGTCAGAGCAGATATCTAGTAACTGCTGTAGACCAGCGGTGCTCGGACATAGAACCACTAAATCATCTGCATACATCAGATTTATGACACCACCCGCTGCACAACCAGTCCTGCTGACCTTTAACCTCACTGATAAATCATCCATGTAGGGTTGTCACTGTGTGAAAATTTAACCTCACAGTTATTGCGACCAAAATTACCACGGTTTTCGGTATTATCGCGGTATTTTTTTTACACGTGCTACATTTTCACACAATTAAATAAACCCTGTATGTCAGGAAATATTGTCCTCGGTGTGTGTCTAAATTTTGCTTAAAATGTGTTATTTTGTAATTATGTTTTTTTTTTTTGGTTTACATTTTTTCCCTTTAGTCTTTAAAATACCAATATTTGCCCATAACTTCTTATTTTATGTCTGTTTGATGTCATCATTTAAAAATATTAGATCAGATGATACTCAGTACTCAAGTCGCCTTCTAATCAGATACTTTTTTACCCTTACTTGAGTAATAAACCCTATAGAGCTCCGGACCCCACGTGACTCAGTTAGTAGACGCCATATTGGTAGGAAAAAAAGGTAAACAAACACGGATCGTAAACATGAACGGGATCGGTTTGGATTTTACTTCGTCAGAGTTTACTTCACACTTTAAAACCGAAGAAATCGTTTTATATAGTCAGAAATTAAATAGACTAAACATCTCCGACCCTTACCGTGCCCCTGGGATACTTTTTAAGCGCCAGAAGCTGTCGGAGCGGACTTCTTACCAGACCTGGCCAGGGAACCCCTTGGGATTCCCCCAGAGGAGCTGGCCCAAGTGGCTGGGGAGAGGGAAGTCTGGGCCTCTCGATGCTACTGCCCCCATAACCCGACTCCGGATGAGCGGGTGAAAATGGATGGATGGATGGACAAATAACATAGATTTATATGTAAGTAGTTTAAATAGAGTGCTGTGCTGTTTGAATGTATAAACTGAACGCCAAGAGAAATCACTAGTTTGATTTTTCTTTCCGTGAATAAAATAAATATGTCAGGCAGGAGTGTCTCAGGATCTGTCTGAGATCTGTTTCAGTGAGACAGAAAATAGCAATCCAAAGTGCTTTTTATGTGTGATCTGACAATTGATCAACCATTGCTTAAAAATGAAATACAGCTTAGCCGGTTAATTGCTGTTATCATAAAACACGTAAACAGCAGCACGCAGAACTCAAGAGGCAACGTTTTACGTGATGTTTACTTGTTGCTGTGAGTAATAAGACAGAAAAAGCCACGACAAAATAAGTTTAGGAAGCCCACTAAGAATCGTAATAAAAACATTTAAAATAAATACCATACACAGTTGAGGAAACGTTGGTTTAAGTACCTGATATGAAGTGGTCGCTGCATAAGTGAAAACCTTTACTCTCGGGATCCCACAGCTTCATTTTAGCCCGGTCACTAGCGCGCTTTATTACAACGATCCAACGTTTGCGGCGCTCCAGATCTTGGGGAATCCCGTAGAACATCCATGAGCAAGAAATTATGAAATGCATATAGTAAGGAGTGGTGCTAACTACTGCTAGCATACCTTAGGTGTTCAGCAGGTATGCCAGCCAACCCAGTGGCCAAAGAAGAGCCACGGTTTTGCAATGCTTCGGTCAGCAGCAGCAGCAACTTAACAGGGAGACCAATGGGGGGTAATGTCAATTTTTTTAAATGTTGATGTTAGGGCTGGGAAATTAAACCAAACCAAAATTTCTGGCTTATATCGAAATCATTTTGCCTCTCAATAAATTTGATAATAAAAAAAAAATGAAAAGATGTGTGTAGGTTGGCAACGTTACCTTTCAGAAGCTGTACCACCTTGAGTCACGTAGAAATGTGACTCAACGTGATACATGTGACAGCCCCATCTAGTGGACAACTTTTGTTTTATGCGCATACCTGTAGTTATCGTCCATTTATCATTATCGAGGTGAAATCCTCAATGTGTCGTGATATTGATTTTTGGCCATATCGCCCAGCCCTAGTTATTGGGTAACAGGGGTGTTCACACTTTTTCAGCTTGCGAGCTACTTATAAAATGACCAAGTCAAAATGATCTACCCTACTACAAAACATGCATAACCACATGAGCCAATATAGCCATGAGTAAGTAGTCAACACAACATAATTAACTACGTAAACTTTTGTCATCACCTGAGTTTACGCGGATGACTTGCACAGAATGGAACCAGCCAGGGTTGCATATAGGGCTGCAACAAACGATTATTTGGATAATCGATTAATCGGATGGGGTCTCGACACGATTAATCGATTAATCGGATTACATGGGGAAATTTTTAAAAACTGCTAGGGAAACGTTATTTCTCTCCTTCCTTCACTTTATTTAACACAACATTATTAGAAAACAGTTCAATAGCAGAAAAACAACATGCCATCACCTAAATTGTCTTATAAGGTGTATAGACAGAGACCCTAAGCTACACCTATCTGTGATCTAAAATGCTTGGTCCAAGTTAAACAGCTTAAGGGCAATTCTCATCTGTTTTGTTTGATCTCATCTGTTAATATTTATTTTAAATGTAATTAAACATAGGCTGTGAATTAATCAAAATTGATCACTATTTCCAAAACTGACTGAAAAAATACCAAATAAAACAAAAGTAAATGAATGCCATCCTCCTTGCGATGATGCCCTGGGCAACTGCCATAAAGTCACATCAAGAAATGCTGCTGATCATTCCAATGATCCCAAATAGACTCACATTAGGCCACATGAAAGCAACTGAACCCAAAAATATATTAACCAGTATATAACTGCACTCTCACACAACACGCCTGCAGCAACAGTTAGGACTCCTCCCTCCCTTTTAAAAGCGTTTTTGCTTCTGAGGACATTGTGGTTGTAAAACCACACGCTAGTAGTCTGGCCCCGGTGTGATCAACCAGTTTCTGCGGGAATGTGACGGCGGAACCAGGGCCAGATTAACACTTTGTTGTACCCTGGGCAACAATATTCAAGGGCTCCATCATCACGACCCAAGGATCACCATAATGTGGTCACATACAGAATATTTTACTGTAATATGCAGTAAATATACTCAATACTTGAATGCCTGACAACACGTAACCCGCCCAGAGTAACCTTTGACCCACCTCGTGTGGACTGACCAATGAGGAGAGGGTCTTAACTTGAGGCCCTCTCTTCATTGGTCAGTCTGCATGAGACTGACTCTCAACTGACATTCAGTCGTAGGCAGCGAAGCGTCTCTGTGCAGCGCAAAAGCCCGGGTGGACAGTTTGTTTAATATAGGGTGACCATATTTCCATTTCCAAACAAGAGGACAGGGGATCTGTGCCTATGACGTCACACTATGGCAACGCCACACAAACCATGTTGGGACCCATTTTTTGTAAGAACTAAATTAATATCAGATTCTGCCAATTAAAGGGCTCTAAAACTATTCATATGTAAATATTTTGCATATTTAATGCAAAATCAAATTTTTCTGCTTTAGTGCTGCAACAAGGTTTTATTAATAATAAATTATTATACCTTTTGTTTTACTACAGCATCGGTAAGCTTCCTGTGCACAGATTATTAAGGATGCTTGTTTCAGCTGTGAGATTAGATGATAGGATCAATGAAAAAATAAGTTGTCACACACTCCATGGAAACTTTCAGAGAATCCACAAATAGTGGCTTTCAAATGGTTTTGTTACTTTTTGCAAGTTTATAAAAGAAGCAGATGAGACAGCATGTCTGATAATTTAGTTTTTCATCTGATAATATTAGAACATGTCAGTAATGTCTGAGGGGCTTTTATAAACACTGTATAACTAACACTCCTGGAGAGGGCATGAATTACACAGAGGCTTCTGGGGAGCCCAGTTATGGGGGGGGGCATTTTGCCTTGGCCCCCAAAATGTCTTGAAACGGCCCTGGGTGTGTGACTGAGTTTTGAAGGTGATCTGAATTGTATCAGATGTATAAATATGACATGTGTATAACTTATTGTTTTTTACTGGTAAAAACGTGTCGTGGAGATAAATCTACCTACATTTGACTTTTCAACACTTTGTTTTGTTTTCTTGTTTTTATTTAACTATTTTCCTGTCCTGTCTGTCTCTCATCTTCCTGCATCTCCTCATAATTCTCCAGAAAATCTGTTGCCTGGATTCTTACCTTTTCACCTCATCAGTTACTTTTGAGCAGATCAAAGGGATCTCCTGACCGAAAAGCGCAGAGCGCGTTTTCGATGCTGCGTGAGGTGACATCACCACAGCACAGGTGATGAGCTCCGCAGTAGCGAGCTTCAGGCACAAATAAGACAGAAAATAGAGAACATGTGCGGACATGAACGATCGTGTGCTAATTATAGTTTTTTGGTTGCGCCACTTTGAGAATGGACCGTGCGCTGGAAGCAGCTGCCTGGATCGCTGCGCGACAATGCGGAACCGGTTCGCAGCAGCGCAAGTCTGCCGGCTCTCCCTCGCGCTGATCTGCCGGTACTGGCTCTCCCTCACGCTGATCTGCGGCTCTCCCTCGCGCTGATCTGCCGGCTCTCCCTCGCGCTGATCTGCGGCTCTCCCTCGCGCTGATCTGCCGGCTATGGCAAGCCAAATGAGCATTTATTCTGATATCAGGATATCAGCCAGAATTGTCATGAACATGTAAGCCATTTCTGTCCACTAGTTAACTAGTTAGAC